TGGGACTCCGGGGCCGGAGTCGCTTTGTTGAATCACTACATCATTATGCTTTGTGCAGTTCAAGTACAGCTAGCCTTGTGAATAACGACCTCGGGTATATCAACAACTCGTGAATAACCACACAATTGAATATTCAGACCTAGGAGGGATCATTTGAGTGCATATTTTTAACGTCACGAATAACGAAAACTCGTGGATATTGACACTTTCTCCTGCGCTGTCGACGGCCGTTATTCGCACGGTTGACTGAACATTCTACTTACAGTAGAGTCGCGCGCCCAAGAACGGATTAGTTCTTCACCCTCGCATGTTTGAAATCTTTTATTCTCACGATGGCCTGTGGCCAATAAGAGAAAAATAATTACAGGCACGGGGATCGGATACAGAGAGATCAAAGTTTAGCTGCTTGCTGAAGCAGTAGCGATGGCATGTGTTGTGATCAATGACGTACATGGATCGAAAGCGTTTCTACAATGAGGTCAGGAGAGGGCCGCGACTATCGAAATTGAATCACTGCATAGCATGTGTGTGTGTGTACTTATGTATACATGTATGTACGTGTGCGTGCGTGTGTGTGTTTGTGTGTGCGTGCGCGTGCGTGCATGCGTACATGTTTGTGCGTGGGTTTACGTGTACCTGGGTGTGCGCATGTGTGTGCGCGCGTGCGTGTGTGTGTGTGTGTGTGTGTGTGTGTGTGTGTGTGTGTGTGTGTGTGTGTGTGTGTGTGTGTGCTTGGTCACGTGTGCGCATATGTTGATCTTCCCCACCGTGGTCAGGGGATCATACGTGCGTCTCCGTCATCTGTGCACAAACACGTGGGTGCATTCCTGTTCCATACCAATCGACAAAGACAAGAAGGAGAAGCCTGTCATGCATAAGGTACGTTGGTATCAACTTATCTTTGTCCTTGTCTTCAGTCAGTGGCTTGTGGTGCGCTTCCTCACCTGTTAATGGCTGAGTCTCTGGTAGGTTGGGTGGGGTTTCCCTGCATGTGTGTGTGTGTGTGTGTGTGTGTGTGTGTGTGTGTGCGTGCGTGCGTGCCTTCGTGCGTGCGTGCGTGCGTGCCTTCGTGCGTGTGTGGGTGTATGCATGTGTGTGGGTGTGCGTGCATATGCGTATGCGTGCCAGTATAAAAATGTTTTTTTATTTATACAAAAAACACACACACCATTTGACGGCACAAAGCAGCAAGGCAGCGATGAGACATATGGAATGGCAGGAGTGGGGGAGAGGCAGGGGCAGCTTGACCGACCACAGGGTCTCGGCTTCATTGCAACCCAAGCGCTCCACAAAAACAAAAGATTACATAAAATACGCAGGGGGGGGGGGGGGGGGGTCTGTGTGTTCTGTTGTTGTTCACATGGGTATACTGTCTAATTGCACTCTGTGTCATGCATGCAGTTGGGTGCTGCAGCTCTGCGAGATGACAAGGAGGCGTTTGCACTGGTTCCCGTCAGCACGCAGGAGATCCGTGATCTGGACTTTGCCAACGACGCAAGCCAAGTGCTCAAGAAGCTGGCTACACACATGGAGAGAGGCATTATTACCAGTAGTGAGAAAAAGTATGTTCTCTCGCTGTGTGCGTGTGTACAAGTGTGTGTGCAAAACCAGAAAATGAATGCTGAAGAGTGTCTTCGCGCTTTGCTGGCATGCCCGGCACATGTGCATGTGCATGTGCACTACTGGCTACGATTCTTTTTAGCGTACAAATCCCGGGGTCGGATTTCAGTTACCACCAGTGTAGTGAATCATATTGACATTTGGCTAAATGGTGTGGCAACTCTGGTAGTCGCTAATCTACTTCACAATGCCCGATGTCCACGATGTCCCCCCACTCCGTGCAGGTCTGCTATCAAGCTGTTAAGTGACATCATCTACTTTGTGATGCGCAAGGAGAACACCGAGGGTGACGCGCTGCAAGTAACCGGCACGCCAATCAGAGACAGGCAGAAGCTACTCAGAGAGCAGAATGTCGTCGCCGAGGTGAGTGATGATTCAGGGGCGGGCACCACAGGGCAGTGGGGAGTTGTACGACCGGGTCCGGGATACAGGCCGGGGGGGGGGGGGGGGATTTTTCGGCCAACAGGGCACGTTTTAGCGCTCTACATGTGCTCTGGGCGGACCATCGTTTTCCCAAAGTGTTACGACCAATTCAGGACCGCCGGAAGCAGTTTTCAATTGGTCCGGTTGTACCAAAGTCTTTGTGTATAATATGGCGGGGACGTATGCCCTCCTCAGCAGTGAACATGCGTTGGTAGCTACACAGTTGGTCTGGTGTTGACCTGACCATCCGCACCAGTTCCGGCAGGCCTGACCATGGTCATTCTGGTCGTACCGTGTGGGACGCTCCTGTGATTGATGCTTATCATAATAGTCTAAATTGCCTATATTATAGCGGTGACACAAAAGCAGGGGTTCTATTTTTGTAACTCACTCTGATCTTTGCTGTAAACCGTTTACTTTTGACTCCTCAAAATAGACACTTTCAATTGATGAAGAGGTCTCATACTTTACCCAGCTGGTGCTCACTTATCATCATAGTACAAGAAAATATTTTAAAAGGAAAATAATTTTCAAAACATTTTGGATCAGGTCTGTTTTCTCAGGGGTGGGGTCTCATGTAGTCCTGGAATTTCGCCCTGGCAGTCTGTGACAGACACCCACGCAGAACATGTTTGAAGCTGCGCACTCTCGGTTTCATATACTCTTGATAGCACCCATCAGATAAATGACTTACATTCAAAGCTTTTTTTCTCTTTTTTGTCCATGTAGATATTTCACATGCTCGATGCACCGTTCAAGAAGCCGGCTGACGGAGGCCAGCCAATGGCCGAGCTCAGTAACCTAGGCGACATGAAGCACGAGCAGCTGCGGACAATCTGCCGCCTGTGCTACCGAGCCATCAAGTTCTCGCAGCAGAACTATCGCAAGAATCAGGTAGGTGGTGGACGGGCACGGGAAGGTGGAACGACATTTATTATGGGAGACGAAGGACTGAGACAAAGACGAACGAAACGACTACATTATGGAAGAAAGCGAGTTCGGGAGAGGGCGAGTGCAAGATAAAGGGCCTGGGTAGCCATGGCAAATATAGGCGCGCAAGGAGTTACCCAGGCCAACGGAACGAAAGATAAGTACGGGGTTCATGCAGGCCAGCTTGGGAAAGGTTGTATATTGTACGGGAGGAGGTACCGAGCACTTCTATACAATCACAACAGTGACTTGTGACTGTAACTGCCATCCTCTCTCTACCGCTCTCTGCTTGTCTTCAGGAGCACATAGCCAACAAGAAGTTCCCGTTCATGCAGAAGCAGATTGGTTACGACATCCTGGCGGAAGACACCGTCACGGCCATGCTCAACAACAACCGCAAGCTGCTGGAGGACTACATCCGCTCGGAGGACATTGAGGTGTTTGTCAAGCTCGTCCGGCAGAATCAGCAAGCCAGGTAACTTACAGTAGTAGAACACTTACAGTCCATTTCAAAAATTATAGACGCACGGCATTTTTGAAATATTTCAAATTTGGCTGGAGCTTCTTGAGAATTTTTGCGGAATGTTGCTCAGGTCCTTCCCCCAATTACTCTTATTTCGATTTTTAAGCGATCGGATAGCAAACGCCCAATTTCGAAATTTTCATGCACAAAGTGATCACAGATTTTGTGTGGTATAGATGCTGGCCTTACGGTTTTTTGAAATCACGCATCTATATTATTTTTTGAAACGCACTCTACATGCTTTGAATATGGTATGATTTGTCAGGGGCGTGGGAAGGTATTTTACTGTTGTACGGTCGGCCATCTGAAGTACTGTACACTTTTCTCGTGGGGGAGCGGTTGCTGAGGCGAAAACTTTGGGAATTTCAGATCCAGATCAGTCCAGATGAGTGTATCTTATTGATTCACGGGGTACCTGGTGCAAAACGTGGTACGGTCAATACCGTAGTGACCGTATTGTGTGCGACACGCCCCTGTTTGTGTTTGGAACGTTTTCCATACACCGATTTCCGCCCGTACAACACTTCCATGCACATCACTGCTTGCATCGCTGACTATAGAGCTTACTGTAAGTCTACAAATATTCAGCCCATTCAAATTCCGGCCTCCCAGGGCTAAAACACATTTCGGCTGCAACAAATTTTCGGCCTGTACTACTGCTGCCTGTATACACTGTCACACTGAACCTTGCAAAACAAAATTTTGGCCCCAACGAAATTTCGGCCGAATATGCTTAGTTGAGCTTGCGTCATTACACAGTCAGTTGAGATGCTTAGGCGAAGTCGCAGCCACTCGCGGCACAGCACGGCACTTGCACTAGCGACTCACGCTGAACACTTAGTTTCGCCCGTTCAAAAAAAAAACCTGCTTGCGTTCATGCATGTGCTCATGCTTGTGTTCCTGTGTATGTTCATACTTGCGTTCATGTGTCTGTTCATACTTGCATTCATGTGTATGTTCATACTTGCGTTCATGCGTATGTTCATACTTCCGTTCATGTGTATGTTCATACTTGCATTCATGCGTATGTTCATACTTGCATTCATGCTTATGCTTATGTTTGCGTGCATGTGTACGTTCGTGTTTGTGTTCATGCGTGTGCTCGTGCTTTGTGGTCATGCGTGTGTCATTGTTGCAGGTTTCTGAAGCACTTGTCTGACCTGTGCGTGTGCAACCAGCAAGCCATTCCCACCGTCCAGGAGCTCATCTGTCAGAAAGTCCTCCTGGACCCGGCCAGCAGCGATATCCTGATGAGAACATGGTAAGAGAGAAAAAGAGCGAGCCGCCGTTCCTCACAGTGAGGTAGCTACCCGTTGGTGGCAGGCATTTATATACTGGTCTAGGTCTTTCCAGTGCTTTAGTAGTCATTCCTTGATGCTGACCGCTTTAATGCGCTTCCCGAATCCCTTCGCACGAATCATATCCCCAATTCATTTCACCAGGACCTTAACACATTCGTTCATCTTGGGCACCCTGTAAGAAGACTTTAGGGTCTGTTGGGAATGCTCAAGTAAAATAATAAAATACAATACAAAAAAAATGCAATACAGGAGCTGTATCTGCACCGCTGGTCCTTGTGGTTGGCAACATTCCTACGGATGCGGACAGCTTAGTCTAGCTGAGTGTAGCACGAACCGTGAATTTTTTTCAGCGGAATAATCTCCAGTCTGGCTAGCACATGCAGTTCAAAATTAATCCAGCATTTTTCATTCTTAAGTGTTTAATCTCTTCCGGGTGACATGTTAGAATGATTTCCTCGGATGAATTGAATTCTTTGTGATGACAGTGTGAACGCCTGTGTCGACTGCTTTGTTGGATTTGTTTTTGGCTGACAGGGAAGAAGATGATCTGGTAATGGTGATGTCGTGCTCCAAGCGTAAATACACTCTACACGAACTGGTGGAGATGGCGCGGCTGAACAGCAAGCCCGAGAAGGACGTCCTTGACTACTACCGGTAAGACTTTTGCTTTTACTGGTACAGTCAGACCTCGCTTATCCGGTCGCCTCGCCATCCGGAAGAAAATCGTTGGTTGCCGATTTACAGCAGATGTCATGCATACATACTGTATGTATGTTCGATTATCCGGCTCCCTCGCCTATCCGGATATTTTTTTGTGGAGAACGCATGTGTGCGGTTATACGAGGTCTGACTGTAGTCCTCCCATGCCGGTGGTTGATGTAGTCAGTAGCAGTTCGGCTCTACTGTATAATATAATATAACACGTTATTTTCAGTGCAACTTTAATTTCGGTAATTTCGATAGAGAATCCAGGCACCTACGTTCAGCGTGTGCGTGTGTGCGTGTGCGCTTGTGTGTGTGTGCGTGTGTGTGTGTGTGTGTGTGCGTGTGCGTGTGCGTGTGTGTGTGTGTATGTGTGCGCGCGCGTGCATGGTTTGTGTGTGTGCGTGGCTTGTGTGTGTGCATGCATGTGTGCGTGTGTGGGCGAGTGCATGTATACATGTAACTTACGTTTGTGTCTTTACATGTATGTGCATCTCTTTCTTCTGCAGATGTCAGTTAGACCTGTACTCGCGTATGTGTCTAGATCGTCAATACCTGGCAATCAACAAGCTCAGCGCCGAGCTTGACATCGATCTCATTCTCAAGTATGTGCAACAGCATTGCGCAGTACTGTCGATCACCAAAGAACTGGGGGGGGGGGTCAGCCTCGCAGCCTACACTCTTCCTATTTTCATATACAGTGAAACCTGTCTAAGACGACCGCTCAAGGGACCTGCAAAATGTGGTCTCTGTTGCCAGGTGGTCTCCTTATCCAGGGTCGTTTGACTGGAAATAGCATCACTTGGTCCTGGTTGCAGTGGTCTTCTAGGACAGGTGGTCGCCTTATCCAAGTGATCGCCTTGACATGTTTACTGTGCTACAGTCCATGCACAGTTTGAGTCGCCGTGTGCACACTGGTATGCTGTGCTTGGTGAAGTTCTAGCCTGGTTGTTCTTCGGCGCTCGACAGTACTATAGTGTGCTGTGCGGTGAAAGCTGAAGACATTGCGTGCATTGTACCTGCGTCACTTCGTACGGTTGTCCTCGTTGTTTGTTCAGTATCAAAACTTTGTACTCCAGTTGTGCCGGTTGATTTTCTTCAAGTCTTGGGTGAGAGTTGAACGAATGTCGGGGCAAATTGATGTCACCTGCTTGGACAATTGAAATACACCCCTCCCCCTGGAAATGCCGTGTGCAAAGCTGCTAGCAGAATGGTTCTGCGGCAAGGAGACCTATCGGATGCTCATCTGTAGAGTGTTGTATGAGTTGCACGGACTCCTTCTTACAAGCATCTCCTTGTCGCTGTGTAATGTTGCAGATGTATGGAGGACCAGCTACTACCGTTCGACCTTCGTGCATCATTCTGTCAGCTAATGTTACACCTTCACTTGGACAGCTACCCACAGGAGATTGTCAACCCGATAGAACTGGCTCGCCTGTGGAACGACATACCCCGGGAGGAGCTACGCCTGGAGATGTACATGAACAAGCCGTAAGTGAACTGCCTGTTGACTGCCTTGCTGTGAACTGTGTGTGCGTGCGTGCGTGCGTGCGTGCGTGTGTGCGTGCGTGCGTGCGTGCGTGCGTGTGTGTGTGTGTGTGTGTGTGTTGTGTGTGTAAGTGTGCGCGCGTGCGCGCGTGCACATACACGTGTTTGTCTGTGTGTGTGTGTGTGTGTGTGTGTGTGTGTGTGTGTGTGTGTGTATGTATGTGTGTATGTGTTGCCGGGCAAGGAAAGCATGCATAGACAATGATAGAGTTTTGTCAAGACTACACCACTACATTCCATTCATTCACAATAGCCCCGCTGCCTTTTTGAAACCTGGTTTTGCCGAAATGAGGCGCAAAACCCCAGTTTCAATTGGAAAATCTGGGTTTGGGGATCTGCTTCTCCACACATTTGTCATAGTTTGCCACTGGTAAATTTGCAAAACCTGGTTGAATTTCTAATTCCCTGTCCGTGGAGTCTTCTGGCTTCAAATGTGGCAAGGAATAATTGCACAGGTCACATAATGCAGAATGTCCTTTTTTTCACGATATCTTCAACTCTATTAAAGGGAGAGACACCAAAAAGGCAAGGGGGCAGTTTTGGATGAGTGGACTGTACGTACATTATGCATGCTGCTCGTTATGTGTGCATCATGCATGCTATTGCACATCACTACTTGCATATGTGTCCATGGTATAGGTGAGCATGGTGCAATATGCAGCTCCTTTCGCAGTACTGCCAGGGGCGTCGCACACGGCCACGGTCTCTACAGTATCGACCGTACCACTATTTGCCCCAATTACTCCGTGAATCAATAAAATACACTGATTTGGGCTCTAAATTTCCAAAATGTTCGGCTCAGTCACCCCTCCCCACGATTAAGTTGAACTTCAGATGGCTGACCGTACCACACTAAATTACCTTCCGACGTTGCCCCTGAATGCACATGGGTAACACCGACTGGAAATCCTGCATTTTGCTTATACCCATGAAAGCTGCATGGCAAGTGCTGTGCAGACCAGCACAGGTTGCTCATTGAACTCCGGTTTGGCGAGTCAATGTCATGCCGCCCCGTCCACTGTGCAGCCCTAGACCTGTGAACAGATGCGATGTGGACCGGTACAGGGGGCGCGCACTTGAGTGACACGATCGGATCGGAGTTTATTGAGCAGCACTATGCATGCTGCAATATAGAGCTGCATTGTAGCGCATGTTGTTGGCTGGCGGTCGAGCGGCGGCCTGTGCTCATTTGGCGCTGGTATCCATGTTGTTCTTTCACTGCTGCTGCTGCCGCTGGGGCATCTGCAACACAACTGCCTTCGTCCCACTACCAACCTGTATTGCTGCTGCTGCTACAACAACTGGGTGAATCGTTTTTACAACAACTACTTCTACTGCTACGACGACTGCTACTATTGTTGTTGCTGCTACGTGGCTCACATGCGGTGCATTGCTGTCTGCTCACTGTCCGCTCAAATCACCTTCATGCGGTGTGTGCCTCTCAATGGTGGTGTGCCGCACGGCAACGTGATGTGCTGGCATGCGACTGATCAACCACAACAACTACGACGACGACAACGACAACGACAACTGATACCACTACAACTTCCACTTTCGCTGCTGTCTCTCTGCCTGTTGATAATGCTGCTGTACGCTGTATGCACGCACTTCCTGCACTCTGTGCACGCTTACACTCCCGGTGCGTCCGTGTTGCGTGCTGTGTGTACGCTGGCTGGCTGGCTGGGGCCGCTGCTGGTGGTGGTAATACTGCTGCTGCTGGTGCTGCTGCTGGTGCTGCTGCTGCTGGTGGTGGTGCTGCTGGTGCTGCTGGTGGTGGTGGTAATGCTGCTGTTGTTGCTGCTGCTCATGCTGGTGCTGCTGCTGGTGGTGGTAATGCTGCTGTTGTTGCTGCTGCTCATGCTGGTGCTGCTGCTGGTGGTGGTAATGCTGCTGTTGTTGCTGCTGCTCATGCTGGTGCTGCTGCTGGTGGTGGTAATGCTGCTGTTGTTGCTGCTGCTCATGCTGCTGCTGGTGCTGCTACGGGTGGTGTACATGTATAGTGTGACGAGTTTCACTCCCGGTACCTCCGCTTTGTCTCGTGCGGGCAGTCAGGAAGCTCTGGACGGCGACCACCTGGCCTCGTCGCCGCTGCCCTACTCCGGAGCACCGCCGCCCTCCTTCGCCACCACCACCACTGGCAGCAGTAGCTCTGCCGACGTCTTCTCTTCCGGTGCTGGCATGGCAACAGCTGCTGCTGCATCGTCGTTGTCGGCGGCGGCGGCGACGACGACGGGATCGGCTGCAGGCTTGGGATCTGGGTCCGGCGGCTCCGGCTCCGGCTCGGACAAGCAGCAGGGCTCGCCGCAGTCGCCGATCAAGGCCGCCGCGGCGATGGCGGCTGCTACGGCGGCCGGACTGGGAACACCTCCGACGCTGAGGACCCACACGGCACACGGCTGTAAGTAGCTGTGCGTGCATGCACGATTGTTGGATTTATCTTGTGGCCAGACGAGACCAGACGACGCTTGCAGACCAGCTGGTCTCGTCTGGTCACAAGACAAATCTACCACTACTATTTGACGGACCTGCTGAAGATGTCATCAACAAAATTATGCACATGTGATTCCGTAGTTTTGGCAGGGGTATCATTTGGTTTGTAATTTAGCAACGACGAGTGTTTGCGCTAAGCTTTTCCTGCTCGGATTTAGGATTTGTATCCGTCATGTCAGCATGTACTGCATTCGCCCTGACTGCAAACTCCGGTCGCGAGTTTATCAGTCCTGGTTTTGAACTCACTAAAACCTCCTCTCCCCCCAGCCCGGGAATAATTCCCCATTCACAATATCTGCTAACCCTGCACGAGTGATACTTCTCTAAGTTGCTTGTGTGTTCTCAACACGATGATCGTAAGCCGGTGGCAGCGCGAATGTTTGGTTTACATTGACACCCGTTGTATGCTGTGTTGTTGTTGTTGTTGTTGTTGTTGTTGTTGTTGTTGTTGTTGTTGTTGTTGTTGTTGTTGTTGTTGTTGTTGTTGTTGTTGTTGTTGTTGTTGTTGGGTGTTGTTCATTAGTCTTGGCAGCCGGCCCGGCTATTCACCAGCACCTGTCCAATCGCATCAAGCGCAACAAGCTCTCCCAGCTCATGGGCTTTGTGCACGTGTACCTGGCTGCTGCCGCTCGACAGGAGGATGACGACGATCCCGATGGCGCCGCCTTAACGGTTATGGCCACGTCGGCCCACCCGACCGCCCCTGCTGCCTCATCGGCGGCGGCAGGAGGAGGCCATCAAGCACCGGCGCCGGTCAACGAGGGTGACAAGAGCCAGCTGACATATCAGGTAAGCATGCTCCCTCCCTCCTCTGTCTGTAACAGTGTTTCTGTTGCATTTGCCTCTGTTTATTTTATTTTTATTTTTTATTTTTTAAAGGTCACGTTCCCAACTCGTAAATGATAAAAATGGACAATGTGAGCGAAAGACAAGCCCCAGAGCAGTGACAGGGCAAGCGCAGAAGCAACAAAAGAAATACAAAACAAGATGACAACAACTGAGTGGGGCCGCACGCAGCAGCAGTGGCGCTGTGGTGTAAGCTGTTCCAGAGGTCCAGTCCAGACCAATCCAGTTTTCTGTGTTTGTGTTGTGAGCTTGTTGGTTTCTTCCCGTGTCAGGTCTCTCTGCTCCGTGATCTATGTGTTTTGTGTTTATATTTTCCTCGTTTCTTACTGTTTCCTTCTGACAACTCTCTCCCCCGTTTCCTTTGCAGGTTGTCAATCTGGCGCGGTACTTGATTTTCTTTGGCTTCTACAATTTCAAAGACTTACTCGCGCTGACAAGACAGTTGCTGCGCACGTTAGACGATGGCAGCGAGGCTGTTGTCATCTCTGAAGACGGTAAGTCAGCAGGCGTGTAGCCCGTATGGGGGGGGGGGGGGGAGGGAAGGGCACGTACAGCTATGCCCCTGGAGTCAGTGTGTGCATATGAGAGAGAGAGAGAGAGAGAGAGAGAGAGAGAGAGAGCTTGTTTGTAGAGGGCTTGGAGAGGAGCAGGAAAGTGGGGCGATGCAATACTGCCTTTCTTGTTCCCATCAAAGTCTCCTACGTAGTTGTAGTAATATAAAGAATGCATACATACATAGTGCCTTTCTGTGATAGCCGCCGTACCGACGGGCTTATCTTCTGTATGCGCTTCACTTTCTTTTGTCCTCCACTAATGCTGTGTACTGTAAAAGCAGACAATTTCGGTGGTGTTTTATTTTTGGTAACTTCGGTGCCGACAACTTTACCGAAAATATAACACACCGAAAATGTCGGTACTAGTGCTAGTGCACTTACCTGGAAAACGGGTTTACCGAAAATTTCCCTGCACCGAACCGCCGATTTTGGGGAATACCGGATATATTACACCACCGAATATTTCTGCTTTTGCGGTACATTGACTACACCACCACCACCACCACCACCGTTGCGCTCTGTGGTCGACCACGCATGCTTCCCACAACAACAACAACAACAACGCTTGCTTAACACCCCCGCTCAAGTTACGGCCCAGTACAGCCTTCGACACGCACGCACTTGGCACCTCCCACCCTCCAGAACCGATCGCTGTAAAGACTCCCCACTGTACAAGTGCCTAGAATACTACAATGCCCTCCCTGCTAGCATTTGTGACGTCTCCTCCCGACCTGCTTTCAAACAAGAATCTGCTCACTGCTGATTAACTCAATCTGCTCCTGCAGCGCTCATCCTCTCCCATACTTGTAAAGTTCAAAGTGATGTAAATCACTTTCCAACTGTTTAACCCACAATCTCACCTTCTCATAAATTTATCTCTTATTGGCGATGGTGCCATCGTGAGAATAAAGAATTCAAACAACAGGTTCCTATTAGGAGTACTGAAATATAGTTCCTTCTGACAGCTTTTTCGGTCATTGAGACCTCATCAGAGAAAGTTGCTTCACTATTAACCCTTTAAGAGCCGCCCCATACTTGAATGCGTCGTAAACGACGCATTCAAATGCAAAACTTAAAAAGATCGTAACTCAGTCCAATCTCGCTCAAATCCAGTGATCGAAATATCCAGGGCGAAGAGAAAACTCTCACCTGTCGGGAGAAACAATCCGCGAAGCGCTGCGAGCAACGGTTCCTGAGATAAATCACTCGTAATTTGAGCCGCGATCGCGGCAATTTCAAAAGTGCGCAGTGCGACTTTGGTATTGAGAATTTTGAGACTTTTCGTCACGCTGGTTTACTCGAATTTGCACGGGTTTCACTGTTGATATTGTCAAGAGTACACAGCGAAAAAATTGGAACTCCACGATCGAGTAAAATGAAATATCTGGAGTGGAACGCAATTGGACACATTTCGGGCATTTTTCGTACTGTCGCTGTGATCTAGCGCTGGATAGACGGTGTGCTGGCTATCATGATCGACCGCATTCTCTTCCTCTCGCGGATACCTTTCCAGGAAGCCCTAGATTGTGAGGATTGAGTGAGTAGAACTGAAGCTATGATCCAAGGAACACGAAAAAATGCAGAATTTTGAAATTTTCCTGTGGCTCTTAACCCTTTGGAGGTGATCGTTCGAATTCGAACGATGCCAATGTCATGTGTGCAAGTGCACTCAACGAGTCACAACTCAGCCAAATCTCAACCGAATTCAACAATCGAAATACCTACGAGGTAGCAGAGAATCTAAGCTGTCGGCTCGAAAAACTCCGGGGTCGATACGAGCTAGTATAACAGAGCGGCAAGTGCTCGAGCGTTCGCTCGATTTCTCATGCGTCAGCGAAGTGCCAATTTCTTTCAAAAGTGGGATTTTCCCTCTTCCTGCCCACGCAGTGTGTGACATCACTCCCAGCGCTTTTTGTCACGGCTTTTGTGAGTCTGTTAGAAAAAATTTGAATGATTTTGAGCTAGCACGAGTGAAATGGCGAGACAAGGACTATTCCGTTTTGGATTTGGTATTCAGCTGGCGTTCCTGGCATTCAGTGGCAGACAGCAATCGCTCTCCTGGATGAGTTTGGGCTCGCTGTTATCCTCGTTCCAAGAGCTTTCCAACGAGCCCAAGATCGTCAAAATCGGTGAAGTAGAACCAGCGTTATGATGAAAATTGGAACGAATATACTTGCAATTGCAGCTATCTCCCGACGTCGTGTGATCAGTGCAGTTCCAAAGGGTTAAAGGGTTAACATCTGTGTTCACTTTGCTGTGTGTGTGTGTGTAGAGCCGGACAAGGGTATGAAGATTGAGCCAGGCATTGCGGGCCATGGTGGAGGTGACGGGTAAGTGACGCGGAGGCGTCCCGCCAAGGCCACTCTTGACTGGGGAACACTCGAAACGCAACCGCGGGAATGTCCCCCCCCCCCAATGGGCGTTGAATCGGTGGTTGAACAGTTTGTTGGGGTGGGGTGTATCTTTGCATCTTCACCTGGTTTGCCCGAACGACCTGCACACTGAGAGCGCTTCTTGAAAACTGAAACATGTGCCGGGCTTGAAGTTCTAACTGTGCAGGGCGTACGCCGATGTTCTGCCGCCACCCTGTATCAGCTTTCTAGTGGTACCGTGGAGATCGGATATAACGACCTTGCATATAGCGACAGGTTGAGTTTAGCGGCACAATTCTGTTGCCCAAGTCGTTTAGTAAGCCCTTTGCGAAGATCGGGTTTAGTGACAGGTTGAAAATAGTGTCATTTTGTTCTCTCCCGAAGGAGTGTCGTTATATCCAATCTCCACTGTATTGTGCTCTTGTGTGATCAGTAGCTACACAGCTATGATCATTTGCACACAGTAATTAGTATGACATCATTCTGATGACGGTGCCATCCTGTTGTTGACACGTATGACACCACACGACTGCCTGCCTTTGGTCATCTACACTATGAAGACGTCATTTCGCAAAATTTGTCATTATCACGATGTCATCATATTAATTTAATATGATGACATCGTTTCACAACTATGATGACATTACACACACATGACTCCAACCTGTTATCGTGTATGTATATGCTATGACACGTGGTGTTTGTGTGCAGCTCTGGTTCACCGCACGTGGCCGACATGGACACGATGCTGAAGATCATCGAGATCCTGCAGTTCATCCTGGACGTGCGGCTGGACTTTCGCATCTCGTCGCTGCTGGTGCAGTTCAAGAACGAGTTCATCGCCGCGTATGGCAACCCGACCGGCCATGACAGCGTCGACGACGAGCAGGCAGCCTCTGCCGCTGCCGGCGCGTCGACGTCTTCTTTCGCCTCCATGGCGAGTCCACCGGCCGCCATGGGAACGCCGAGGCAGTCGCGCAGAGCCGCGTCGCTCGCCGTCGACCCCACCCAGCTGCCGGGATTCAAACCGGGTACGTTACTGTCGGTCACTGAAGAACTGGGGAGTCAGCCTCGTAGCCTAGACCGTTCTTGTTTTCGTGTACAGTCCTGCTCCATGAAATCCAGTCGTGTCACTTAGGTAGGGACGCCTTGCACTGTTTTGCAGCCCAGTGTTCGCAGGTCAAGGGCTCAGCAACGCCCGGTGCGGACTCCAGTGACGCTACCGGATTTCATGTGACTTGAGTGCTGCTCCCATGACTTGAGTACTGCTCACATGACTTGAGTGCTGCTCACATGACTTGAGTGCTGCTCACATGACTTGAGTGCTGCTCACATGACTTGAGTGCTGCTCACATGACTTGAGTGCTGCTCACATGACTTGAGTGCTGCTCACATGACTTGAGTGCTGCTCACATGACTTGAGTGCTGGTGACATGACTTGCATGTTGATCATGTGACTTGTGCTTTTCATGTGACTCATGCTGGTCACATAACGTCTGGTCCTGCTTGTCAAGTGACTTGTAATGGTCATGTCACTAGTGCTGATCACGTGATATGTGTTGGTCACGTGACACATACTGGTCATGTGACTTGTACTGGTCACATGACCCGTGCTAGTCCTGTACTCTTGCAAGTCCTGTGACTATCACATGATGTAGATCATGATGATGCAGTATGCATGTTCATCATGCATGTACCGTGCTCTCTGCAGAGATGAATCTGGAGCGGATTTCCGAAGAGATGAACAAGATCTTCGGAAACGAAGGGTGAGTGAGCCGATTGAACAAAACATGCTGTTGATCATGTGACTTGTGCTTTTCATGTGACTCAAACGATGTGATGAGTCGATAGCCAAGGTCTTCCTGAACACGTAGAGTGGTCGTTTGTAACTCTCCTGTGTGTAGAAGCAGAGATACGAATTTATTTGTACTCACATACTCATTCTGGGCGTCTAAAGTCGCCCGTGGCACTGAGAGGGTTAACACACTTTTGTTAACTTTATTATTACTAAAGACTGGATTGAAGGTTGAACTCTAACTCTAAACTGACATGAAGAGAATTGTGAACAGCTGCTTTTATAGGGTGTGGAACTGTTAGTGTAAGTGCAAGGCTAGCCTATGACCAGGGGATACGTAGAGCAGAAGAAGAAAGGTCAAAGTAAGATGTGTGGCCCACAGTCGTTGCACAAGGAATGCCATTTGATTCTGTGCAGAAGAAGGAGCTGAATAGCGGTGTGGGCAATGGGCGTAAAAGAGGCGGTTGAAAGTGCAGCAAAAGATCTAGACTGTACATGTGCTGGTATTTCTATTAAAGGTCGAAACATTGAACGCAGTGAGCTGAGACTAGTTACTATGCACGTCGTGGGTCGGCAAGCACGACAGTAAGAGTTGCGAGTGCGGGGCGCGGTGCGGTGTAACACGCGTGACCAATACATTGAAAGTGATTCACGCTGCAGCTGTGTGATCACCAGCGTGCCAACGCTACACCTTCCTTCTCAAACACAATCACGTCCTCGTGGTTCGAGTACGAGTAGCAGAGCAAGAAGTGACGAACACTGATAGAAGATCATGAAGAGACGCAGACTAGACTGGGCGAGTAACATTAGTTGATAGCCGGACTCCGACAATCGACTGAGATCAGAAGACACTAGCGGCATGCATGGTCGCGTCGGAATAACCTCGACGATAGGAGATAGGCAGAATGGATGACTTGCGTACACAGGTATAAACAGCCTCGGTTGATATCCGGACGCAATGAGGACAACTGACATTGAAGTACTGGCTGGAGCGCAGCAGCAGATCACAGGACTAAGAGGTGGTGGGAACATTGAACATGATAGCAGATAGCGCATTACTGGTAGAGCCTCAACCGGAATATTGCAAAATAATATCGGAAATGATAACGTTTGGAATAGACAGAAGAAATGAACTGATAAAAAAATCATAAAGTAGCAGGACCCCAGGTTCACACGATCTCACGGGGTCAAAAGGGGAAAGAACCGTCCTCAAAATAATAATAAATAATATTAATACATCGCGCGTAATAAGACATATCAATGAAAATTGCATGCCTGTTCCGCTTCTGTCGCACATTGAGTACTGCAGTAAATAGGGTATGTGTTACTGAAATAGTCCTTTCCATTTGATCTTATCCATTGCGAGACATCTGGACTGACGTAGGCTATTGGCGGACTTCATCATGACCCCAGCTTGGGCAGTGTCCTTGATGGATACTGTTGGCAGCATTGTCTTTGGCCTTCCACGATGCGCGGTGGCGTCCGCAGCAAAGTAGCAGGACATGGCTTTGCTTGCGGGGGTGTCTTCTGGCATGCGCAACACATGACCCAGCATCCTTCTGCGTCTGCGCTGGATCGTCTCTGACATTGGCTCCGCTTCACACCTTGCATACAAGTTCTCGTCCTCGAAATAGGACCTGAAAAACCACAATACTCTTGCTGCACAACCCTGGCAAAAAGGGAAGGAACCCCGCCTCCAAATAGGACATGAAAAACCACAGCTCACTTGCTGCACAACCCTGGCACAACCTGCCAGCAAAATCGCAGTTCAAAACCGAACTGAATACACTATAACGGGCATTGTCACACACATTGTCCCAGGTTAGCTAGGTAGACCGTGGCTCACCATGATCGGTCGCCTACCGAACTAAACTGGATTCACACACTCGCGTAAAGGAAGACTGAAGAGAACAGGAAGACTGAAGGCAGACAGGAAGATCTGTTCCATTGTAAATGTGGACCTTGGTAACTTGTCGACCGTTGTGATACGAAAACGTTTTTGTGTTGATGTACACCACAGTAACTGATCGATCGGGCTGGAGTTCTCTTCTGAGTACTGTACCTTCTTCTAGGAGCTGTAGAACTCCATGTTCTCCGTCATTATTTGGTGGTGGTGGTGGTGGTGGTGGTGGTGGTGGTGGTGGTGGTGGTGGTGGTGGTGGTGGTGGTGGTGGTGGTCCATGATGATCGTCATCATCCTCATCATCATCTGTATCGGGGATGACTATGAGGGGCCAGTTGACCCCATCCCCATTCGCTTCCTCAATGCCGATCGCGCTATCTGGCGATGCAGCATCCTCCAATACCTCCACAATCATTGCATCACCTTGGACTTCCGCCATTTCTATGACATCACAGTCAATCAGATACACACACACCCCCAGAGTCTGAGTACTGGAGCTTGGATACGTCACTTTCCATAAGGCTCGGCACATGCTGCACACTTTGCATGTCTGAAATCTTGCTGGACTGAGGCACCTCCGTTCTTTTCAATTCAACTCTGATGTTTCTGGAGCAAGAAAAGCCCGGGGAGGTAGGACATGTCCAGTGTTCGTAGTGATCACTGCCGTTGGTACGGTTGTCTTTCACGGTGTACTTGAATTTGGTGAGGAAAAAGCTCTCGCCCAGTGCAATACAGTTCGGTGAGGATAGATTGAGTTCATTGTTCAAGGCTGGAGGGGAAGTGTCTGCGGACGAGTAGAGAATGACGCTGCGTCTACCTTCAAGCAGTGAGTACTTTTTTCATTTCCTTTCCAAAGTAGCCTTCTGCACAACCTTTGACCCACTCAGCAATCCCTTAAATGGACCGGGAATCTGGGGCGTGAAGAGTTCCTGAGCCATGCTTGCTGTCCTTTGAATACAGGGTAAAGTAATTTTCAGATTGTTCGTCCAGAGAGCCATCCACAAAGTCGCGTGCAACTCCGTAGATACCATTAATCCTGGATGTTCTTCACCGGTGAGCACTCTATCCTGCATGCAGACACTCATCTTCATGACGAATGCATCTTCGGCTTTGTCCGACTTCTGATAAGAGGCGGGGAGCTTCTGCAACACACTTCGCTGGGTGCTCGCAAGCTTCACAAGACAGCCCAGTGCACATCCAACAGTCATTGAGATCAAGGATTGAGATCCAACCCCTGATGCAGTGATGGTACACCCCCTACTACTACTGGCAAGTCTGACATTGCTCAACGCTACCTCATGAAGAACCTCTCCTGCGTGTTCAAGAAGGTGAAGAGCAGGCCTTCCAGTAACAATATTAGTATGATCATCGTGTGCGTTGCCCAGCTCATTCTGTTGTGTGAAGAAGCGTCGCTGAGAGGATCCGGTCATGATCTGCACTGCACTCTAGTTGAGTGCTTCGAGCAAGAACTGCATGCTATTGGCGTGGTGCAGTACGAGCGTTGTCAGCAAGAGTCGACATTCTTAACACACTGTTGTTAACTTTATTATTACTAAAGACTGGATTGAAGGTTGATCTGACATTCGATTGTAGGCCACGGCCCCATTTCCAAGTCTGAGCCGTATTGTTTCGATACATTCCCACAAGCAGGAAGTCAAACTCGACTGTAAGTCGCATCCCCTTCTTACCCTTGAAGTTCAGTGTAAAGCTAAACGGTTGAGGCATACTTCCGAGGAAATATGGTGCTCAATGCTTAGGGCAACTGGGAGAGGGAGGGGCATACACACTGCTAGAGCTGCAGAAAAGATATGATTGTTTTGGAAAATTTATTTTTCATTGCTACCAGGTTCGGCCGCATTTCCTCTGTGCTGCGCTGACGAGTCCACAAAGGACGAAACAGTTCTGTCCGCAGATTGAGTTGATAGGGTTGTTCTGATGAAATACCATTAGACTGCACCACCCACTATCTGTGGGTAGGTCACTTCATCTAGGCTAGTGTACAGCACCTGGCGAGACCTTTGGTCGGAGGAGTTACTTCTGCCCCACCCCCACTTCCATCCAATATGCCACCGCCCTTGCTGTGTAGCATCCGATGGTTCTGTGGTATTCAGTAAAAAAACCCGAAACAACAACCTGCAAACTAGTTCGGGCTCAACAGGAACATATTTCACAAAATAACAAAATTAATACAGTCAGACCTCGCATAACCGCACACATCCGTTTTCCACAAAAATATCCGGATAGGCGAGGGAACCGGATAACCGAACACTGTTTATGTTGGATGCGTCACGTATGCTGTAAATATGTAACCAGCTATTTTCTTCCGGATGGCGAGGGATCCGGATAAAAGAGGACCGGATAAGCGAGGTCTGACTGTAAGTGTGTTTCTGGGTGTTTGGTTTCGTGATCAGGAAAATAGGAACTGTTCACAGCTGCTTCAAACCGTGTCATTGTGTCTTTGTGTGTGGGGCTCTGGTTCTGTGCATGTGGGTTGCATGCGTGCGCATGCCGGGGCATGTCGGGTTGCATGTGCGTGTGCGTGTGTGTGTGCGTGCGTACGTGCGTGCGCGCGTGCGTGTGTGTGTGTGTGGTTGCATGTTCGGGTGCACAAATGAACAACCTCTATCCGCGTGCCCTCGCGCCTCCGCAGCTCGGGCAGTGCTGACATTCTGGACTTGGAGAACGGGCGTATATTTGTGCGCGTTCTCTTGTACGTCTGCTGCTCCAAGCATCCACCCCTGGTCTCCGGTGCGCTACGATTGCTGTTCCGTCAGTTTCGGCAGCGATCCGAGCTGCTAGAAGCTTACAGATCAGTGAGTGCTATGGAGACAGTTTGTGTCTTGTTGTCATATTGGAGAGGTTGCACAGTGATAATAAAGCCTTATGCTACCTTTTTTCTGTTTTAGAGAGGTTATTTGATTACATCATCAGTTATGATGCTGTGTGTAGAGATTACAACATCAGTTGTGATGATGCTGTGTGTAGAGATTACA